GGTCTGCTACAGACACCGCAGCCCAATCAGCAAAAATTGATAATTCCTGCATGGGTGCATACATCATTTGTTCGTATTACCAGTTCCAACTTCTCCTCTCAAGTAGTTCTCGTTCATGAATTCAATTTTTGAAGATGCGTAAATACAAATATAGTCCTCTCATCAAATAATTCATGTTGTGTGGACTAACGCCTAAGGAAATTCTTCCGAAGTTGAAGACAGCTCGACTGTGCGAAATATCTTGGGGATGCACAAATACCTTTCTCAGCAATGTTTGAACCATTTAATAAGGAGCCATCCGCACGGGTATTAAATATCTTGAAAAGTGACATTATATCGATTGTTTTTGGCATTGCATCGGTTTTTCTATAAAATGTTAACTTAGCACTAGCAGATGGACACGTTGTGATCTAGTTTTGTAGTTGTACGTGTTGCCTAAACGTTATGAGGCTTGTTATCAATCTTTGGCTCTGATGTGATGTAAAATCTGCTTCTGAGACGGCGTTACTGGAGGTCTAAGCTGTAAGATGTAGGTATGTATGTTTACTATAGCTAGAAGGAGACGGCAATGCATAGGTGCATAGAAAGGATTTGTGTGCTAATAGTAATATGTCTTGATAATTCCATTGGATACTTGTCTCAAATACACTTACTTGAGATTCAAAGCTAGAAATTAGTTGCGCATCCACTTATCCATTCTGGACATAACAGATACAAATTTGCTGAATTTCAAAAATGAGAGAGATAAGAAATAATTATATGCACTGTAGTACACTGTCGAATTACAAGTCATATACATGCTAACACACAACGCGGACGCGGTGGTAATTTCCCGAATTCTCCTCAAAGTTTTTGAAAACACAAAAAAACGTAAAAAATTGTAATTTTTAACTTTGAACATAACCGGTCTTCAAAAAGGGCAACATATAAATAACCCGTCGGGCACAACTAATGGATGTACTTCATTGGCAGCATATTCAGTAATACACATAATCATCCAGATGCGATCTTGCTATTCAACCACCTTTCTTCTCACAGATGAAAACTACAGACCACTCGGCTTTACAAAACATATGCAACCAACAATGCGTGTAGTTGAGTCATTCCTCCATAGATGGACGCTCACAACGATCCTAATGGGCAAACGTGGAATGATCCTAACATGCACCCTAAAAACTACCTAGTCTGCAAGATGACATTTTATAGTTTTTTACATAATACCCGTCCCGATTGATTGTATACAGCGATTCGTTGCCATATATAAGATATGAAATCACCACTAAATGCCAGAAACAAAACAGCAGTCGAAGCAGCGAGTGAAAGCCTATGGTTCAGCGCGAAAGAAGAGCAGTCGATTGGACTGGAAAGGTCATGGCCAGCGCGATTTGGGATGCGAAAGGGATTCTGTTGGTTACATTGAAAAAGCGTAGAACAATTGCGGGTGAATATTATTCCAACATCCTTGATCAAATGCAAGCCAAAATGCGTGAGAAGAAAAAGAAAATTTTTCATCAGGACAACGCACTTTTTTTAAAGGTGTGTTATCAATGCGATAACTGCAGGACTTGGATTATGATTTGCTCGACCATCCCTCTTTGCCCTTAGATTTCCAGCTATTCCCAGATTTGAAGAAAATTCTTTCTGGAATGCTCTTTGGGTCCGATGAAGAAGTTGAGAGAATTGTAGATTAATATTTCAACAGCTTCCGGACTTCCACTTCCAGGAAGAAATCCTAATGTTGGAGAAACGTTGGACCAAGTGTGTTGCAGTTTGTTGATTATGTAAAAAATAAGATCATTTTTTAACTGAAAATTGCAGAACTTTCCACCCTGCTCTCGTATATTAACAGATGTATAGAAACAGAACACTTCGGCATAATGTACAAACACCAAAAAGAGCTTAATACACTGTGTGATTATGGCTTTAGCTTCTAAACCACATCTGATATGCCATAAACATATCACGCACTGTGCCCCGTTACATAAATGCCATGTTTTTGCCAGCAATCAATCGGATTTTTCTGATATTACCATTATGAATATTTTAATGAATAATGTATGATATATGTAAATACATCCGATATACAAAGTTATTTTATTAATTGCTAAGTTAATACCAGCTTTGGAAGCAGTAAGAAGTACAGGTTGTTATGGCGGCAAAAAGTCTATTAGTGCTTGGTTGATCAAGTTTAAAAGGCTTGATGGATACATGTATGCCAAATGCTGTCATCCGGCAACTATGAATGAGACCTCCTTCTACTATTTTCCACGGGCTGAAGAGTCGGTAGAAAGAATGAAGCCTATGCAAATTTTCTTCCCACCATAGACCAAGTATTACAAAAGGACCACATTCTATAGTTTAATCAAAAAACTTCATTTTGAGTATAGAAAACGGGACAGAAATAGTATTTTGATGAGAGAAAGAAAGAAGAAAGACAGAAATTCAACAATAAAAGACATTAGTTTCAATGAAAATATGTTCAAAGCTGAACTTATCCATCTAAACAGGCATCACAAATTAATATTAAGTCCTTAATGTTATTGACGAAATGGCTAACAACCAAAATAAGACCGTTTTAAGGCTACCCACTTATCAACTGCGAATAAAATCCCAATGATTTGGGCAAAGATAAAAAAGTATGTGGCTTCAAACAATTTTCAAATTTTCTGAAGTGAAAAATATGTTTTATGAACCTGTCAACAGAGTGCCCTTTTGGGCATGTTGTGTTTTGTCTGGGCGTAAATGGACTACGAATGGGGTATAGCTAAGCACACTACTGAGAAAATCTCTTGAATTTTGACTACTGGAGCTTTTCGTGCCGCACCAACTGCTGTTATGGAGGTTCTTAAGTTACTTCCCTTGCACATATACCTGGAAGGCCAGGCAAGAAGGACAACCTACAACCTACAACAACACTATGGATGAAACGGACATGCTGGTGGTACAGAGCCACCACAATCTGGGAATGCCTTCCGACATAATATCAAAAACATCCTAAACCCTAGTCAGTGATAATTTCTCAAACGAAAAAAATATATGTGCATGCACAAATGACTCCAAGACCAAAATAGGTGTTGGTGCTGGTATCTTCGTGCCGAAGGTAAAGATTGAGGAATCTAGTCAGTCAGTCACCTATTCATGTCTTTTTGTTAAACGGGTGGAAAATGAGCAAACTTGCAATTCTCTTTCAAAATGCGGGAATTTTGACACCAGAAAAGACCTAGAACGACAGAAGCAAGTTCTGTTGACGTCGCGCGATCCCTGTATCATTCTGAGGGACTATGGTAGCCGGGGGTAAGGGTAACAGCTGATATCGACGGAACTGAGGTATTCTGATGGACGTCCATTGTGGCGTTTGTCGCAAAGGTCTTGGGGTTAGTTCCAGTCGTAACATTCTATCATGTCGACGATGGAATACTCTTCATAGAGTTTTCAAAAGCTTGTAGTGTGATCTCAGCTTCATAATTTTCTAAGTACAGTGAGTATAAAAAGTATTCGGTCAGCACTTGTTTGCAGCTACTAATGCTATATGTGGTCCATTGAAGTTGTTTTTTGGACTCAATATGGAAATAGCACAATCATCAACTGTCCCGGTTAAAGTTCACTAAATGAAAGAACGATGAATTGTTTCCACTGGTCCAGTCGGAAACGCGAAAACGCTATGTATGTATGACAAATTGACATGTGTGCGCATTTTTCGTAGCGAACCGGTGTGTGCGCTGTGAGGCGACACATTTTTGTCTGAGCGGTGATCACCATGGGAGGGAAGAAGACTGAGACGACTATAGCTGAGCGACATCTGATTATTAGAATCCATAATAAGTGCAAATCTCTGAATGAAATAGCTACGCTTGTCGAGAGACCAAGATCAATTGTATACGATGTATAGTAATTAATCGGACCAAGACTGTTCAAAACAATCCCCGAAGTGGGCGTCCACGAAAACTGACCGATACTGACAAACGATTTCTCGTGCCGGAGATCAAGAAGAACTCCAAAATAAGCGCTCCCAAGGTAACTGTTGACCTGCAGAAGCGTGGTGTTGATGTATCTGCGAGTACTGCCCGGAAATCGTTGAAAGAAAACGGGTACCACGGCCGAGTAGCGAGGAGGAAGCTATGGATAAGTGTGGTCAATCGCAAGAAGCGGGTGAATTTCGCACGGGAAAATCAATCTGAGCCTCTAGAGTACTGGAACCGAGTTATTTTCACTGACGAGAGCAAGTACAACATATTCTGCTCTGATGGTCGCCAAGTGGTGTGGCGTCAGAAGAATACTGAGCTAGATCCAAAAAACTTGAAAGCAACAGTGAAACATGGGGGTAGTTCTGTAATGGTTTGGGGGTGCATGAGCTCGTCTGGTGTGGGTAATTTACGCTTTAGGGAAGGAATCATGGACCACAAGATGTATATCGACATACTGAAGCAGAATTTGTTGACTCGTGCTGAAACAATGGGACTGAGAAACATCTTTATATTCCAACAGGACAATGACCCAAAACACACAGCAAAGAATACAACGCTTTGGATCGTGTATAACACACCAAAACAGCTGAACACCCCTCCAAAATCACCAGAAATGAATCCCATCGAGTATTTGTGGAGTATTCTGGAATCAAAAATAAGAGAAAGGCACATCTCTAACAAAAATGATCTCAAGCATGCTTTGCTAGAATAATGGAACATAATATCTTCTACTACATCAAGATTGGTTCACGCAATGCCAAATCGCCTCCAAGCAGTCCAGAAGGCCAAAAGGAATGCCATAAAATACTGAGTATAACATACGTGTCGATTATGTCTTCATCTAATCTGAAATTTCTAGTTGTCGAATACTTTTTGAGAGTCAATAAATGTTATTTTGCTTTTATGTTTAAAGTTTCAATGTTTACTTTTTGTTGTTGTTATTGTTGGGTACACATGAATAAAGAGAGTTTATAATACATAATGCAATACAAGTCAGAAACAACCCTGCAATACAACGAAAATGGCATTTTTTAGCTAACAGGAGGGATGTCCGAATGCTTGTTGCACTCACTGTACATCAGATTCAACTTGTGTTGGAATAACGAGGTCGAATACATACACATAAACAGATCACTGCAACAAAAACTACAACATGCATTTACCGGTTCTGCAAAGCGACCAGCGTTCTGCAGAGATGCAGTAAGAGAAAGACGACCTGCAGAAATTGTGGAACGGAGATAGATAAACGTAAGTATGCAATTATAGAGTGTGTAAAAACTCTCTTTCCGCTCGGGTTTAATCGGCAGTGTTGCCGATAGAGGACGCTTGCGCATCAGAGAAGAAAATATCGAGGTTTGTGCTACTCATACTTTAAAAATAAAAATAAATATTCCCACAACATACTTCATAAAGATCAAAAGTTACTGGGTGGCGAAATTAGCTCCCAGTACTTTGAGTTTTTACTCCTGCTGTGGCACTTCGTGTCCTATCGTATTCAACATGTCTACACGATTCTATCGAATTTATTTACAATGTCATCGCTGACACTTTTGAGCTATCGCGTGCGGTGATTTCAGAGCTGCTGTCCAGTGGTTTTTAGTTTGAGAGTGATATGCTCTTAAACTGCTCTGAAAAGCGTGTATGGCAATACAAACTATATTGATACTGAACACAACTGAGTCACTCTGAGCAACTCAATTGGGTCACTGGAAATCAGCTCAGGTTAGGTGGAAAAGAGACACATAATGCGCCACTTATTTGTCGAAAGTGGCAAAAGGACCACTCTCTTCTCGCATCACCTTTTTCTCTAGATTTTCCACTCTGGTTGAATCCAAACTATCTTCCTCCTTCTCTTCCAGAATCTTCCAGATTATTGGGAGATATGAAGTTATTCGGAAATAAATCGTATCACTTTGAGCTCAAACAATACAGTACCCAAAAATAACCACACTAACGACGTAATATTACAATTTGCACTCATTTGACATTTGACGCCCACCATTACTAGCTTAACATGATATAGTTGTAGTCACCATTCTTGGCGGTTACGTCATCAACGCCACATGAAATAAGTAAATAGATCGAGTCTCCATACCATGGACGGATCTACTATTGCTACTCTCTCCAGTACGTATGAAGTGGGTAACAGGGGACCGCTCTTTTCATACTTTTCCTGGAAATACTCTAATAAATTTAGCCCGAACTGACGGGGCCTCCATTGATCGTATTTCCGGCCATTGTATATATAATTATATATTGAAGATTGATAAGACAACTCAAATTACACGCCGATGTCAAGTAAGTTGTCTGACAAACTTGATTGAAGGGCACTCATACGTAACGACAAAGTTTTCGAGACGGAGACACAACTAAAAAACGTATGTCTTTGAGCTTATCGAACAAACGCTCACGCACAGGGGTAGGTTGGATGTGTATGCTTGAGGGAGATGGAGATATATAAAGGGATACTGATAGTCTTATTTTGACCCGCAGAACGGTGACTACAACTAGATAGTAATGTTATTAAATTTGCCTAACATAGCCGAAGAGCAAGCGACAGAGACATGGAGTGCCCACAAACCCAACTATCGACAACGCAAATAGAAACCTATTGTAGATAACGACAGGTCGAATTCTATAATTTACGGATTCTCAATGCTGACCTTGACTTTTCGTGGGAACCAGCAGCAATTTTTCTCAGGGGGCGCACTAAAACATCGGCATTTTTTATATATTATGATTAGATAGAAAGCTGAATTTTCGGGGATAAGAGGTCTTGCGAAATTTTGAAAAACAAAAGACGGAAAGGGAAATCAACTAGAAGCCACCGACCAGGTTTAAGGCATATGTTTTCACTACATCGCTCGGGTTACCAATCCCTTAATTTCTGATCATTTTCCTTTATTGCGAAGATGCCCACTATTGTCCTTTTAACTATAGGGGATGACCCACGGCTCGCCTTTGAGGTAATTTTATCTCGGTCTGCAGTTCTTGACCGTGTTAGACGTAACTCCGTCTTTTGCATGCTTTGGCAACCTTGTAAGCTATTGGCCTCATGCCTCGATGCTCCAGGTGGTTTTTTCAAATCAGAACGGTTGGCGTTGGTGAAAAACGTTGAAAATGATCCATAATTACATACAGCTACGATAGCCATAGTAATAATTTCATAAAATTATCGATCTTCGAATGCGTGCTTTGGGAGATAAACGAGCATTAGTAGTTATTCTTTATAAAAATCTTAATGTGTATAACTGCATCGGTAATTTTGATAACACTTTTTTGTGGGCTAATGGTCAGACAGCTGCATTCATGTGTTTATATGGAGTTGCAAGAATCCTATTCCGTATCTTAATGGTTTAAAAACAATAGATTTATAAAATAAAAACAGACTGCTTGATATTTGAGATTTCTTGTGTCGAGTCCTGTATTACTCCAAATGATCAGTGGTTGTGACTCAGAAAATAAAATAAACCAGTCTTCAAAATCATAACAAAATTCTTGTGAGTCACAGCTCCATACAGTTGCAGGGCTTCTAACAGGGTGCATGGCAATGGCTTGAAGTTAGCTCCTGAGAAGACGGAAGTGGTTATACTTTCTGGCAGACAGAAGCTAAACAAACTCACACACTGTTAAGGTTGAGTTGGCCGAGATTCAAAGCTAAAATGCAATTAAGCACCTGGGTGAGTGTGTCGAAAAAGATATGAAAATGACTGATAAGGTAAATGAAGACGTTGCCCTTATAGGGAGTTTCAAATTCGACCCTCACCATTGGGACCACGAAAACTGTAAGAGACACGAAATCGCTTAAATGGGGGCAAATTTGTGTATTTAGGTAATTAACAAAATGCCGCGTAGAAGGTTTCAAAATTCAAAGTAATTCCGGTGACGGAAAAAATCGAATTTCCCCAAAATGGTTTTTTTTAATGACTTTATTTGCAGTGGGATTTTAACATAAATTGCACATTGCCACTTTTTCTCCGCTACAAGATAATTAGAATTTCAATATGATGATTCGCCTCATGTCATCCAGCGTCAATTTTATTTTTTCTTATGGACGCCATATTGGGCTTTTGCACCTATGAATAGAGTTTCTAATTATGATTCTAAAATTATCAGTCATTTGTTTCGCATACCAGATTTATCCACTTTTATTTTTTCGCGGCCTTATTTGAGATTGGGATTCCAAAATAAAATGCATGCTGTCAGCCTTACTTACTCTCCTCTACAAGATGGAGTTATCAAATTTTCAATTCGACACTTCTTCTTTCGACTTCCGTCATTAACTTTTTTACAGACGTAAATCATCAAAACGTTGTACCTTATTTTGTAGGCAAATCCTGACTCTTATCTGTACCTACATTGTTCATTGCTCTCAGTCGAGAAGAAGAAAACTAAATCGAGAGACTTCCAAATTCCTTTGCCACGTTCTATTTGAAGTCTGGTCTGGTATACGAAACAAATGAAAACTGATCAAAGCCTACCTAGAAACTTCTAATTTTCTGGAATAACTAAGGTTTGGTAACATCAATGTGTGACATATTATACATTTTTTAATTAGAATACTCTCATCTCTAAAAGTTGATGCTGGAGGACAAGAGACGAAACGTCATATTGAAATTCTAATTAAGCCATCTTGTAGAGGAGAAAAAGTGACGACGTGAATGTACAATTTATTTTGCAATCCCACTACAAATAAAGTCAGGAAAAAATTAAAACCGTTTTGGGAAAATTCGGTTTTTTTCCGTCTCTCTCCGGAAGCACTTTAATTTTCGAAACTTTCTAAGCGCCATTTGGTTGATTACCTAAATACGCAACTTTGGCCCCATTTAAGCGACTTCATATCTCCTACAGTTTCCGAGATCCCAACGGTGAGGGTCGAATTTAAACACCCTGTATATAAGGCCCTGAGGAGAAAGAAGCTTACCCAAAAAAAAAAACAGGACAGAGGGCCTGATAAACTACCTGCGCGAAACAGAAGAAGGACATAAGAACATATTCCACCTTGATACTACTCTGTGAGCCTGATTAGCGAGTTGGTGATTTGAAAATTGGTCGTCCTTACTATGAAGTACTTACTCTTCAGGGAGTTGTTCTATACAACCATGGTGTCCTTTGTGCCCATTGGAATTCTGGTCTGAGATATCGGAGAAGCAGCCTCCCTTGACAGACTTACACACGTAGCCTGTCGTTACACAGGACGCTAGGTTGCAAAAACAACTAACATAACCTGAAACAAAATATTTTTTTTAAAACACGCCCTTTGTGATTTGGTAGCGGTTCTTATAAATATTTCAGGTTGAAATTCAGACATAATTCAATTATCACGTATCGTCTCAAACACCTCTTCAAAAAATTTGTTCTCAGACAATCTAGGGAGGCACATGCTCAGGTGTGACAAATTTTATTGGAGTTACCACAACACCGTACGGGTTTATTCACTCGTTTTTTAGTTATAATTGTGCAGCACTTATCAGAAAAGAATCGTAGTAGTAATAAATAGTAGTTTGTAGTTAAGTTTAGTAACCAGCAAAATTCGTATGATGTGTTTTTGATTCTTTTTCTTTCTCTTTTTCAGTTGTCTTCCAATATATTTTTTTTGTACTCTGTCACCTCACGCAGTGACGCGACTGTATATCAGTCTTAAAAAATAGCGTACATACGTGTTAAAATTCCGAAAACAATTTTCACATAACGGCTTAAATAGATTTACGCCTCTGCTAAAACTCATTTTACTTTTACAAAATTAAACCTTCCCAAAACAAAGTTCTACATAATTTTAGTCTGACAAAAAGCAGCAACGTTCAGACTAAAAAAGCAGTATGTCATTTTCAATCCTATTTATTGCTAATTTTCGTTTTCTAGCTCTTCTGTAAAATTTGTAAAATGTAAGTTACGCCGGTACGTGCGGAGACCGACGATATATTTGAATACTAAAATACTGAATCCTACCAGTATGAAATTTGATAGCTATGGTAAAGTTGTTTTTCACGAACAAAATATCATTCCTTATTTTGTGTTTTTTTATGATACACGCCACTGTAGGTAACCTGGTGCTCTTCTTTCATCATGTTTATAATATGCAAAGGAAATATTTTGGTTTGTTATAAGCAAAATCGTTTTAAGAGCTGCGAGCAGGCTATTAACAACTCGGTAAATGGTATTTACACAAGACGGAAGGCAAGGCTGCCGGCGAACAGAAAAATAAGTATGAGTGCTCTAAATTGTTTTTCTTGGCAAATATTGATTATTCATTTCATAAAATTTGAGAATCTCATTATGATCCTTTTATTTTCTGACAGTTTTATATGCCATCTCGAATTTGGCCCCACGATGCTCTAGACTAGACTTTATTAAATCACTCAATCTTTGTTTTTGATTTTCGGAAAAAAATTTGCAAGGGTAAAAAACTGTGGGTTGGCGATTTTAGGGGATAGGGAGGGGGTATAGATCATAGATTTCCTGGTACATTTTACTTGCAGAAGCGTCTCGTGTGTGGGTTATAGGTCGGAAAGCTCGAGTTATACTGGCGCTTATGTCATGATTGATTGGTGTGGCTCAGCAACGTTGCCAGATGGTCGATACGTTTGACAGGTGACCGAATAAATGTATAGCATTATCAAATGGACTAATTGTGCGGGACCGTTTGGGTGACTTGATCCATTTAATTTTTCTGTTATACACACGTCCGTAACTAACTTTTTCCTCAGAGGTGCTAACTTATGCCAGACATAATCATTCATGAACTAACTGATGATAGCGTTGCGTGAGAAGTCAACCTACTTGATGAAGCAATTTGAGAACAATTCGCTGACCAGGCATTCTTTTCACATTCTCTTGATCAACTTCTAACTTATTAACAAAGAATTACAGCGGTATTAACGTATGTTTGGGGTCAGAATATGTTTCATATTATTTAATCGAGATGTGGCAACACAATGAGCAAAACCAGTTTTGTACACAAATACTCGAGAACAGCGTACGGCAGAGCCAGCCTCTTTATCTCAAATCAGCATCGAATGTGCTTTTAAGTGTTTGCCAACGACTGGCAAAGGTCAACAATAATGTCAGTAATGTCTTAAAAGGCTACTGTAAACAAACAGAAAAATGTTCGTCTGAGAAGAATTTTAAATGTGTTGGCTTTACTGATTATTCTAAATGGCCATGTTAGATGCAGGTATGCTTTCATTCATGGGTACCATTTCAAGGAATGCATTTTGTAGGATCGTCAATTAAGCCTTTTTGAGAAGATGACACAATACATATGACGTATCAGATTAAACATACAGGGTGGCAATTTTTGACTCCATTTAAAGATGAAAACTTCATATGTATAAGCGTATGTCCTATGTCCTAACTTTTGAGATACAGGGTGGTTAAGTTTTTAAAAATAAATCAGTGTCACGCTATTGAATTTTCTTAAAACGAAAAAATGGAATTTGTATTTAAGAGCACATTTGATCTCTTGAGTTTCTCATTATTTCTACTAATACTACAAGTATTAATTTATCTTGACCTTTGTTGTCTTTTCTATGATCTTTCACATATTTGTAAGCGAAATCATACTTGTGTACACGTAATAGGTTGCTTTCCCGTCTCGCTATAAAAACAACATATTTATTTTAATTGGAAGCACTTAAAAATGTTTTTGATTAGAGAGAGGAGAGAGTTTACTCCTCGTACTAAAAATAGTGCGTAATGTCGGCACAGTGAGTCAAGCACCAGGCGCCATACACTCAGAGCGTTCCATTCGGGCGCCGACAGGAAAAAATTCAGAGTGGTGTAAATATTTTCAGAAGGAAGGCAAACGTATATATATATATATATATATATATATATACTTTAGCAGCCGCGAAATCAGTATTTGAAACCTAATATCGAGCCTACCATCAAACTTCGTCATGACGAATATAATAGTAATAATAAATGAAGGGTACATGGGAAAAAAGATGAATGTCACAAAACGTACGTTTCGGGAAAAGTGAATTTAAAAGTTTGAAGTCTCCTAGACTCGTTGAACAGGGTGGTTCAAAGGTCTGAAGAGTACCATAGATTCCTTATTATAAGGAATTGAATAAAAAAATAAAAATATTTGTATTATATACAGGGTAGCCCAGAAGCGAAAGCAGACCAAACATTTTTTGATAGAAAATCTTTTTTATTTTTGTATTTGGAGATTCTTCTTGTGATTTTAAACATTTTTTATGCGTTAGTGTCCATGTATGAATTCAACTTTATTGAGATATTGAGGATAGAAATGAGCCCTTCGTCATATGCGAAATCTAAGGGTTGATTAACCAGCAAAGTGCCTATCTTAGGTTTCACGAGCTGTTCTGAGAAAAACCTGAACACTAAATTCATTACGCACGACCTAGAACCCCAAAAGCTTAAACACAGAATTAAATAAAAGTATTTTTTTAATTGGGACAAGAAATAAACAACAAACCAAAAAAGCTTCATTCAAAAGAATATAGAACAAACAAAACAAAATTAATATGGCAACTGCTTAAAAATGATTACTTCACGTTTATTTGTAGTAGCTACTAGTTTCGGTGACGATCAGTGGACGTTCATCTTTTTTTCATACAAATTTATCCTTTGTACAACGGCTGTGACATTAATCTTTTTTCCCTCACGGCAAGTTTTCAATTTTGCGTGTTTCAGATAGGTCATGGGATTGTACTGCGTTAAGACACGTTACCGGTTCTGACTAAGTTCATAATCATCATTTCCCCTGTACCCTTCAAATGTCTTTATTAATGCGCATCTGTGAGGCAAAGTTTAGCCAAAGTGCTACTCCAATCTTAACCTAACTGTGTAAGAAAAAGTAACAGTTCTAATGCCTTGATTCATGACATACTTGATGAGGAAGCGGAAGTGGAATGATGTTTCATCCTCTATCTAGCAACTTCGAGCAGATCTTTTTCTATTCCTACAAAGGACAGATGTCTAAACTGCAGTGATCTGTGCGATTCACATTCACAAGATTGAGCGAGTCGCAAAACAGTCTTTTTTTTCAATAGCCAAAGTACTCGGCACTTGTTTCGGCCTGATATGAGCGCTAGTTTTTGCTTGATTACGCTACTGCTAGTTTCCTGTGCAAACAAAATAACGATAGATATAGTAGTAGTTTGTGATGGGGAAGCAAAGCTTGGCAACTACGCCACCTTTGCAATTCTGAACCAGTGCTAGTCTTGTCTTTCAATGCCGGAGCATTATATGGTGTTAATGAAGTATCAAGCCAAACTTTATGAAATGATTCCTTGAGCGCTTCTCAGAAAAAAAATGTATAACGCTCCGCTTTCAAGTATTCAGTCATAGTGTTCTGATCCACAAACTGTTTTCTTTAGGCCTTCATAGTTCTTTCTTAAATTTTCTAAAATCTTATCTGCATCAGAGACGGCAATATGTTCACATTAGTTCAACCACATCTGGTTACTAAGTTTCTACTAGTAGAGTACCACAGGGGTCCAATTTGGGACCTCTATTATTTTTGTTATATGTTAATGACCTATGCACTTCACTGAAATGCAATAGATTAATGTTTGCGGACGACCTAAAAATGTATGCGTCCATTGCATGTCTAGAAGACTGTGCTGCCCTGCAATCGCAGATCGATGTTTTACATGACTGGTGTCTTAGAAATCATCTGCATTTATATACATCCAAATGCAGAACAGTAACCTTTAGCCGACATTCCACCATACTATATCCTTATCCAATTAATGGTACAGACCTTTCGAAAACTGACTCAATCAGAGATCTAGGCGTTTGCTTTGACAGGCAATTAACATTCAATTCACATATTAATCAAATTATTATGAATGCGTTTCGATCATATGGCTTTATCACAAGAAACTGTAAGCTTTTTACTGATCTGTCGGCATTAACTTTATTGTATTCTAGTCTAGTCAGGTAGAAATTAGAATACTGTTCACTAATATGGAACCCAATTTACAATATTTATAAAATATATATCGAAAAGGTTCAAAAAAAATTCTAAAGTACTTATCTTTCAAGCTTGATGGGTTATATCCACAAAGAGGTAGGGATTATGTTATGCTTGTGAACGCAGTCAACTTTCAAACTTTAGAGAGCCGTAGTGGTCAGGCATCTGTTTTGTTTTTGCATAAACTACTAAATGGCAAAGTTGACTCTCTTGACCTGTTATCACAGCTAAATATCTTTGTACCGAGACTTAATGCTAGAGATCATTACACGTTTTTATGT